GGGGGGGGGCAGAGGGGGAGTAGTGCCTTGGCGCGAGCCCGAGGACTCGAAACTCTGAACTCCGGAATTTCAACCTACAGAATAGTGCCGACAGTCGCACGAAGCGGATCTACTGAGTGTATGAGTAGGATAGAGTGAGAAAGAAAGAGAGACAGAGAGAGAGAGAGAGAGAGAGAGAAAGAAAGAAAGAAGACACAGTGGAGAAGGGAGAAAGCGGTAGACACGAGGTTCAAGACGGAGTAGTGTAACTATTTACACAAGCAGTTGGAAATTCGAAGGATACGTTGTTAGTCCCGTGTCGATTACTGCTCTTAATCTGCAGTGATTTTCATCGGTGAACGGAGGAGGTGTTGTCGAATCCGATCGATCGATCGGCCGATTTTGAAGAACGTGACGCTTTTTTTTTGTGGTGAAGGTGACGCGGACGTATCGCGTTGTATGGTCAGTGAAAGTGAAAAGTGATAGATCGTGATATGACCAATGATTCGAAAACGAGGATTCCCGGCTACCGTCGTATCGCGTGAATTCGTCCGCCGCGAAGTCGCCGACCACGAGAGAAGCAGTGACCAGTGACCGGAAATTGAGCGATCGAGAACCCAACGATGTAAGTCGCACGCGCGCCCTCATCGTTTGTTTATTTTCCTCGTTCTTTCATTTGCCATCTGTTTGGCGAGCTAGAAAATCCCTCAGCATTCGGACATTGCGTCGGTGGACGCAGGCTGATGCTGAAGGAGCAGGCCGGTGTTGTTTGCCGCCGTGTGTTGGAAGAGCCATTTAAAGCCAGTTATTATTGTTGTTGCCATTGTTGGCGAACATCGTCGAAGCGCATCGGGAGTGAGGAGTGACAATGCCGCACACAGTGATACAATCGGAATCGCACCAGGTGGAGCGATCCAGATTGACCTGGACATTCGTACTCGGTGTTCGTGCAAACATATGATAAATGTAGAACATGCTGTAATCCGCTTTTTTTATTTTTTCCTTTCATTTTTCTTCTTTTCGATAATTCGTCTTATGAAACTCGACTGATCCGCGAATGCTTGCATGTGACTCTGATTATCGTGTCTTTCTCGAATCATCGTCCATGTGCTGTCTGCGGGGAAACCTGTATCGGCGCTCGTCGACGATTGGTAGGAGGGAGATGCGAGACATCGCGACGTAACGCGCCGTTTCGAAACCTCGTGACGAGATTCGCCGTTACCTGTGTCCCCTTACAAATCGAGAAAGTGAAGCGAAAACAACGTTATATATCAGTACAGACTGTTATTGGAACTTTGCACGCGCGTGAGCGCGTGTACGCGCACATGTGTGTCTACATCACGTTCGTTTCAGTGCAACGTTGTGTGACGGATCGTCTTCCCATCGTGTTATTCAAAGAATAAAAGAAAAGAGAAAGAGACGAGAAGACGGCTTTTCCACGAAAGGAGAGAGAGAGAGAGAGAGAGAGCGCACGTTCGTCTGAAAACAAGACGAAAGTGGGATACAAAGAACGAAGAACAATATGAGTGAAATGACGAGTGTCGAACAACAGCAGCAACAACAACAACAACAACAACAACAGTACGTAGGTGGCAGTTCGAATTTGGAGCATCATTGCAAGGATTGCGACGTTTTCTTCGAAAGCGATAAGAGTCTTGAAGTACACCTGCGATATCACCACGAGAACCTGCTAAGCCAGTGGGCGAGTCAAGCTCAGCAGGAAGAGAGTAACAACAACAACAGTAAAGCCGGCAATCACAACAGTCACGTGGGCGTTAAGCGCGATAGTGTAACCGCGCCAGCGGATTCGAGTGAAACTACCTCGAGGCCGCCTTCGCAAGATCCGACGTCATCGTCTCAACAACTATCGACGCAGCAGCAGCAGCAGCAGCAGCAGCAGCAACAGGCTCAACAACAACAACAACAACAGCAGCAGCAGCAGCAGCAGCAGCCGAGTACAGCTCAAACTTACAATCAATTCCAGCCGCCGATGTTCGGCGAAACAAATTATTTCATGCAGAACGATCAGGCCTACATGATGCCCCATCACTATTCACCGCCGCGAGAAGATAACGGCGGTGGAAGTTACTCGCGTTATCATCCGTATCAACATCAACAACACTTCGCACCGGATCGTACGAGTTCAGTGAGTTCGACCAGTCCGAGGAGTCCGCCGCTACAGTGCGACAAGTGCGGTGCAGTGTACGAAAACGCGAATCAGCTGGGTGAACACGTGAGAACGAATCACTCGAATTCACCCGGTGGATATCCCGGACAGCATCAATATCAGCAGCTGGGTAGCAGTCCGCAACAGCAGAATCAGCAGCAACAGCAGCAAATGCACGCGTCACCGCAGTCTAGCCAGCAGCAACAACAGCCTGGTTACGACTACAACGGCGGGCAACCGGTAGAGATCGAGGCGAAACAGGAACCGGACGAACAGGCGGAAATTTTGGATCTGGATTCGCACAAGGTGCAAACTCACAGATACGAGGAAGAGCTGATGCGGCTTCATCATCAGCAGCAGCAGCAAGAGTTGCAGATGCAGATGCATCAGCAGCAAGTGATGCAACAACACCAGCAACAGCAACGGGCCGGAACGCATTCGGTGAGTTCCATGCTAGGTTGGCCACCGGCTGCACAACCGCACGACTACCATCCCGGTTTGTCGCCAATGGGCCCGATGGACAGTGTTTCGCCTCTCTCGGATCAGAGTCAATTCATGCGAGGCCAGCACATGCCTGTTGAACCACAACGACATCCAGGCTCCCCAATCATTACGAGCACGCAGCCGATACCGGGTCACCAAATGCCTGCAGGTCTTTTGCAACAACCACCGAAACCTCCGCCTTTGGCTAATCAATCGTGGAAAAGTAACGAGGCGCGGCGGCCAAAGACCTATAACTGCACTGCGTGCAACAAGTGGTTCACCAGCTCGGGCCATCTGAAGAGGCACTATAACACGACGTTGCATAAGAACGCGGTGAAACAGAGTAATCAGCCAGATCCAGCCAATTTACCGATCAGTGCTCATCATCATCCTGGTAGAGATAGCCATTCTGGTGGCAGAGGCGCAGGACCATCTAGATCGCCGGAGTTATCTTCTTCCGGGAGTCCCCCAAACTTGATGGCAGGTCCCTCGGGCGAGGCGGCGAGGGGCCTGCTCCACACGCCCACCATTCTCTACAACAGCAGCAGCAACAACAACAACAACAACAACAACAACAACAATTCCAACAACAGCAGCAGCAGCAGCAGCAGCGAATCTTCGGCGGTAGCGGCGGCTCTAACGCAACCGTCGCCTTCGGCGGTCCACTTGGCCTCCACAATGGTACCGCCGCTCAATTCTCCGGTGGAATCACCACTGGTGGGTCATCATCAGCAGCAAATGGGTTCATCGTCCCCT